TTAAATTTTCTAATATCTGAAATTTGATATGGGGCCCGCACCAGCAGTTTTTCTTGAAAAGGCGGCGACTAAAAAATCTGAAGCATAGCTCTCCGTGGTCCTCTACCTTCGACTGTGCCGTTTCCCTCCTCGTCCGCTCAAGCTTCACAATCCTCGCAAGAATAAAGCATGTCTTTGGCATCCCTCCAATTACCCAAACTAACTCCACCTTCATCTCCGCAACCGTCCACCCAGAGACACCTCCGCCGGCAGCAACTCCAGCATCCATCATTGCCACAAGCACAGCCGCCCTAGTGCCGCCACCAACAACAGTGGGCGCGGCGTGCTTAGCCCCACACTACGCGAAGCTAATTGTGCAACTGGAACGAAGGATCCAAGCGCCGAGTAAGCTAGCAGATGGCAGAGACGAGATGTATGGAATGATGACTGCGAGGTTGCGGACAATGGTGAGGAGGAGATTGCGGGGGTTGGGAAGGGATCTACCGAGAGACGTTGAGCTGGCGGCAGAGTGGACCGCAACGATAAAGGAGATTATGGATTGGTTGGGGCCGGTGGCGCACTGGACGTTGAGGTGGCATGGGGAGAGGAGTTTTGAGCGGTGGAGCGCGGGGGCGGTGATTCGAATAAATGTGCTTGTTTTTCAAACGCTTTATTTTGCTAATAGGGAGAAGGTGGAGGCGGCGATTGTGGAATTGCTGGTTGGGTTAAATTATATTTGGCGGTTCGAGATGGAGGTGCGCGGCAAGTGCATGAGCTTATAGCAGGATTCTCATGATCCTGTGGGGAGATTGGGGAGATTTTGTGAAAGTTGCTAGTTTGTTGATTTTAGGGATTCGTATGGGGGTGATGAAAGTTGCTAGTTTGTGGATTTTGTTCATCGATATTATTAATTTGATTGCCGGTGGCAATGGGGGAAGGGGTTGGGATACCTAAGGTTTGGTTTGTTGTGCTGGGAGGCTTTGTTTATCACGCATTTCTTACATAAACTTTGAGAAAGTATTCGACGCCCTTACATTAACTTTTATCAGTGCTAATTTCATTATTTTTTTTTTCCTTCGAACTATAAATAAATTTATAAATGCATAAGATCTCCGGCTTAAGCATAAAATTTCTTTTTAACATCAAGTTATTATAATTTATAAAAAATATTTTTTTTTTCATACGAGAGAAACTTATATTCTGATTTATATTCGGAGACGATTTAGATATCTAACAAAATTTAGAGACTTGCCCAACAATTAAAAAGAATGAGTGTAACTCCACAACCATCACCAAATGAGTATCGCCTAATGAGTATCGCAGCCGGAAAACCATTTCCATATTATTCGTAAACTCATCTTTTATTCTTCCTTCTCCAAATAACTCCTACAGTTAACTTTTTTTTCCTATAAATTTCTCAATTTTGTTTTTTATTTTTTGACATAACTCCTGAGAACTTTTTACTTCTTCTATTTTGTGTCAAAAATCGTTGAAGAAAGGAGCAGTTTTGTTTCGAAGGAAGACGATGCTCTCGCAAAATTTCATTGCATAACCATAGTCTTTTTTTTTGAATTGGGTAAAGGTCCATGATGCGCCAAACTAGTGCTAGTTACTACGTATCCTGCTACAGAAAAGAACCACGTGCAGCATACCAACCATCCACTACTGATCTGTCACTTATGCAATCCTCACTGATCAATCATAACTATCTAAATCACATCCCTACACCTTGCATTTAAGTAATCCTTTATATAAGCACATCATTGTAGTGAAACATTAGGCTTTTGGGTTCAATGAAAAGAGCTCTCATATTATCCTCTCTTTTATATGCTTTCTTTTGTTTTACCTTTCTCTATTCACACTTTCAACATGATACCAAAACTCTTTCAGCTTCATGACACAACTTATCTTCCACTCACTATGGCCCCTTCTCAATTGCCTCTTCCGGCGACCACAACACAAATCAACCACACTTTCTACCAAGTGATAATCCAATACCCACACAACAAAAGTCTATTCTCAAGAACATTTGCAGCACTGTTCCCACTAAACTCACCCTTGAAAACCACCCAACATAGAAAGCACAAGTCCTCAAACTCTTTCGGGTGAGTGGCTATGACACTGTCCTTAACAGATCTTGGCTCTCCCACTCTTAACTTCAATTACAACAAATGGATAATAATCGACTAAAACCTAACATCAACCTTATATTCCATCATCTCCCCATCTATCCCACCGTATGTGCTAACCCTCAACACTTGCTACAAAATTTGGACTACCATCAAGTGTCGACTACAGTTCTTCAATCGCTCAAGAATCATCCAGTTGAAGAATGAACTTAACAATCTCCAAAATATCCATGATTCAATACCTCTCTGAAATCAAAACAGAGGTTGATATACTTGCACCGATAAGAGCTCCCCTCAATCCTGAAGATATAATCATTTACACCCTTAATGGTCCATCTTCCATATATCATGCCTTCAAAACAAAATCCATGCAAATCTTCAACCAATATACATAGATAATCTCTACACACTTCTTTAAAAAAAAGAACTAAACCCCACCACCAAAATTTCCAAGAAATTCTCCGTCTCCAAAGCTCTTACAACCCCTAACTATCAGTGAAGACACCAGAATGCCACCTATTGATCCCACGACAACAGAACCAGCTCAAACTCTTGAACAACTAAGCATAATCCCAATCCCATTCGAACCAATAGATAGAGCTTGTTTGTCAAATATGTAGTAAAGCAGAGCATAAACCCTTTAGTTGCTCGTTTCATCATGTTAAACCATGTAAAAATTGAACCGCACTTGTCACTTCCAACTATGAACCAATCACAAGAACATGGTATCTCAATAGCAGCACCACCTAGCATCTCACCGCATATTCCAGTCATCTCATTCAACCCCAAGAGTACCACAGAGACAACACCATTACAGTGGGGAATGACGAGTAGTTTACATTACGCTGATCGGCCAAAGCAGCCCGTTCACTCCACTGAGTAAGCTTCACTTAGCTTAACTCTACCATAAACCCAACTTAGCTTACAATCTTATCTCACTCCATATTCTAACTCTAGCTAATTTCTGTTCCGAAAACCACCCATCAATAAACTAAGGACAAACAGTCTCTTACTTAAAGGTCTTTGCATTAGTGGACTTTATCTTATGACTTCTCCATCCACATCGGGATCATCACCATCTCTTACTCACCTCTCAGTACAACATGTATCGCAACTCTGAGATCAACGGTTTGGCCATCCCTCACCTCAAATGGAATCAACTATTATTTCTAGATATACCTCTTTATATATTCTTTCTGCATACTTACATCACAAATCTTGCAAACTAGCCAAAAGTCATAAATTGTCATTTTCTACTCCCAATAAGTAGTCTTCATCTTCTTTAAAAAAAATTCACTCAAATATATGGGGCCCTTCCCCCATTTTATCACTACAAGCTTATAAATATTATTTTGTCTTTGTTGTTGACTTCTCTTGTAATACATGGGTGTATCCTCTTAACAATAAAAAATACATAATTCATAAATTTTCTTAATTCAAAATGATTGTAGAAAACCAATACCCCTACAAAATCAAAACTTTATGCACATACGACGGTGGTTAATACATCAATCATAAATTCAACAACCTACTTAAACCTTTTTGCTTCCTCTATGAATTTAAATGTCCCTACAGACTTGAGCAAAATGCTGTTACCGAGCATGAGCAACACCATCTCATCAAAACTATACGCACACTAATGACCACTGCCTCACTTCCTCCTCACCCTTGGGATGACTCATTACTTATAGCAACATGCCTCATCAATCAGCTACCCTCACCCATCACATCCTCCCAATCCTCAAATGAACTTCTTAACCAACATTTAACCTACCTCAATCACCTCAAAATATTTGATAACCTATACTATCCTTGGATCAAACCTAATTTTCAAAAAAAACTTACTCATTTATCTGTCGCAATGTCTGTTAGTTTACTATGCCACATGCCAGAAAAGCTATTGCTAACTAAAACTTCAAATAAACCAAATGTACACCTTTTTTTTGTGGTATGTTTGACAAATAAACGTTTCCATTTCACCAAAACACAATAAACAATAAACAAACAACTTCATCACATCTTCCACTACCACCTCTCCTATTAACACCAACCTCTAGCTTAATTTCTTGCATAAATCTTCTAACTTAATTTGTGGTAAACAAACCTCTGCTACCAATAATTCCTCTCACTAACAATTCACATATCTTTTCACAACCAACTACCTCCCCTATCTCTTCCCAACAACCTACACCCACAACCGTACCACCTCTCTAACCACCACCATCTACGTCCATTCACCTAAGGAAAACACATATTCAAATTGGTTCCTTAAACCCCATCAAATATATAACCTCACTCATCAAACTTATATTGATCCAATATGCTACTCGTCTGCTATCAAACATCATCACTATCGTGAAGCCATGTCTACCAAATTTCATCACTTTAAGCCCAAACTACGTGGAAACCTAATATCACCATCTACGTCTATTCAATATAAAAGTCCTAAGTCCCCTTTCTCACTTCCTCCTCATCTTAATCTTCCTATATCACAAATATCATAACCACAAGAGGCATGACCAATTCTAAACATGTAATCAAACCCCACTTGCTCAAACAAATCAAAAAATATGTTGAACTTACACTAATGTCAAACCCAACCTTATACCGCAAACTAGTGTGCTCTCTTCAACATCTTACGTTAACCTAGTGGCCTCTGTTCAACATCTTACCTTAACCCTCCTGGAAATTTCATTTGTTATCAACATAGCCTCTAAACATAATGTGGTAACCCGATTAACTTACTTTCTACAACTCAAGAAAATACTCTGCTATCTTAACGATGCCAAAACCTTTGGTTTTCCCATCTACTGATCCAACCTTTCCCTTACATCTTACATAGATTGTAATGGGAGAAATGATTCTTTAGATTAGAATTCAATATCCATCTAATTTACCTTCCAATGACTCACCCCAGTCTCATGGTCCATCAGGAAACAAACAACTATTGCTTGCTCCTCCACCATGGTCGAATACCAAGCCCTTACCTTTACTGCTGTGGATGTCACTCAGCTTTGATGTCTACTAGATGATTTTCATGTTCCCCAACTACAACCGATTGCTATCTATTGTGATAACACCTCCGCAATCGCTCTTGCCAACAACCCAATCTTCCATGCAAAAACAAAACATATCAAAATTGATTGTCATTTCATACTAGACTGCATCGAACAAAACCAAATTACTATTCACCACATCTTAATCCAAGATCAAATGACAGATTTTCACGAAGGCACTCACCAATTCCAGATTTCAGTAGTTCAACTAAAAGCTGACAATTTTTTTTAAAAAACCATCAACTTGAGGGGGGATAATGTGCATCTTGCTCCAGAAAAGAACCGTGTGCAACAAACCACCTATCACCTATCTGTCTGACACTAAATCAAACGTCATTGATTAATCATAACTACCAAAACTACATCCCTACACCTTGCATTTAAGTAATCAATTATATAAGCATTTTAATGTATCAAAACATCAGGCTTTTGGGTTCAATGAAAAGACCTATGAATTTATCATGTCTATTCTGCATGCTTTCTATTGTTTTACCTTTTTTCTATTTCAGCTTTTAACACTAGTGTCTTCTCTGTTCTAAAACCAAAATTTGAGGACTTCGTAGTGATAGTAGGTTGTGCCTCGTTGCTTTAAAGTGTCATGTATGATGCTAAATGATGCAACACTGCAGTGCTATAGGTCAATATTAAACTTTACTCAAATCCTTCTTATAACTTCATTTTGCAATTCTTGACATCATCTATTCCCATTCACTCCTATCATTTTGGTCTCCG